CAGATCCAGATAAAGTCCTGAGGAAAGGCAGGGAGAGTTCTTTGTAATCTTGGACAAATCACAATTTCTCTACTTTTTTAATCTATAAAAAATTAATAATAATGCTTGTACTACCTATCACAAAGGGGATGTTGTGAAGGAATGTGGTTTATTTGTAAACCTTAAAGTTTTATGTAAATGTAAGCATACTAAGTCTGCTACTACTGCTGCTGCTGCTGCTGCTTCTAGTTCAGGGGATTCCTTTGCAAACTTTTGGCCAAGAAGGAAACATGCTGTTGAAATATAGACTGACGAAATTTGAAAACTGGCTCCTCTCTTTAGGCATCTGGCCAGAAAATGGCTGATGAGACCTTGGTCTCCTGATTGCCTAATGTTTTCTCTCCTTTATTTGGGAATTTTCAGAGGGAACGTTGACCTTTGACATGATAAATAAGATTTCAGCATTTTTACCGACTGGCTCTTTATTAATCAAGTTTTTGCTTTGCTGATGCTTATACATAAAGTTGCTCCTGTGCCAATGTTCTATTAAATCTTGGTAGTTTGATATCAGACCAATATCATCCAGTGGCTCTGGAATTAGACTTAGTCAGGAAGACCTTAGTTCAAATCCCATTGTTGATATCTTTGACACTTATTAGTTGTTTCACCCTGGGCAAGTCAGTTAACTTCTCTCTTTTTTTTTTCAGTTTCCTCATCTTTTAAATGGGGATTATATATTTAGAGTTGGAAGGGTCTTTATAGGTCATCTGATCCAACCTCATTTTCTGCATGAAAAAACTGAGGCTCCTAGAGAATTGCAGCTAGGTGCTGCAGGGGATACCACACTGGACCTAGAAGAAAGAAGGCTTGAATTCAAGTCCTGCCTCAGCTGGATGACTCTGGGAAAAACACTTAAACTTTGCCTCAGTCTATACAATATGCCTTCTGTAAAATAGGAATGATAATAGCACCTACCTGCCAGGGTTACTGTGAGGATAAAATTAGATATTTATAAAATGCTTTTCAAAACTTAAAGTGCTATCCATGTAAATACTAGCTATAATCATCATTATCATCATCATTATTAATGTTACTGTAAATTGCATGGTCATATAGGTAAGTGATAACTATACAGCATTTTAAGGTTTACAAAGCACTTTACAGGGTAGAGTAACAGCCATAATAATTGTGAAGTATCTGGCACATGGTAAGCACCACATAAATGTTAGCTATTATCTATTATCTCTTTTTTATTCTTACAATAAGTCTGGAAAGTAGATATTATTATATCCATTTTACAGATGAGAAAAAAAAAAGGAAGTTGAGTGAAGTTAAATAATTTGCCCAGGATAACCCAAGCTAATAAGTGACTAAGGTGGGATTTGAACTCAGGACACCCAGGCTGCAGAGCTAGGATTTGAATCCAGTTCCTCTGATAAGGGAAAACTGTGGTAGAATGGAGTACAATGAGTATTGGCTCTGAAATCAGAGGAACTGGATTTAAATTTTGCTTTTTATCATTCACTATGTCATCTATAAAAAGGCGGGAGGGGGGGTTTGACTAGGTAGCCTCTGAGGTCTCTCCTACCTCTCTGTGGTTCTATGATCCTAAAAGGATCTAGGTCCACATCCTGCTTCTGTAGCTTATTACCTGTGTCACCTAGAGCAAGTCACAACCTTTCTGGGTCTCAGTTTCCCAATCTGTAAAATGAGGAAGGACTAGTTTGCTTTTGAGTAATTGGAATAAATTAACTTCTGACTCTAAATCTGTGATCTTATGTCTCCTGATGCAGCTCTCTTTTCACTGAAGGATGATGGATACTCATTTGTTGTTGTTCAGCCGCTTTCAGTCATGTCCGACTTTTCATGACCCCATTTGGTGTTTTCTTGGCAAAGATACTGCAACGGTTTTGCCATTTCCTTCTCCAGCTTATTTTACATATGAGGAAACTGAGGCAAACAGGGTTAAGTGACTTGTCACACAGCCAGTAAGTGTCCAAGGCCAAAATTTAACTCAAGAACAGTCTTCCTGACTCCAGGCCCAGCCCTCTATATTACATACCTCACTTAACTGTTCTACGGATGAAATAATGGATATAAAATACTTTGCAAACCTTAAGCTAACTTCATTGCTAAGATGATATTAGAGTTCAAATTATAGTTCATTTTTGTAAAGAAGCTGTCAGAATGTATCATCCTAAGATAAAGTATTTCAAAGGGTATGTTATTCCACAAGCTGGAAAGGATCTTGGGACATCTATTCCATTCCCTTCATTTTACAGAGAAAGGAGTCTGTATATGGTTAGAGAAGTAGAATGCCTTTTCTGAGGTCACACAGCTAATGAGAGGTAGAGACAACCCTGAGTTACATGAGAACATGGGTTCTTTGACTCTGAACCTTTTCCACTGACTTAACAGAAGGATTTTCACATCAAGGACTCTCCTATTGTTATCATTAGACATGTACTCCACCACTCATTTTCTCTGTACTCCTTAATTCTAACCTATTTTAAATATTGCATATATTTGTATTTATATGCTTATGATGTATATACATATCTTCATATGTTAAAGGAAAACTACTGGGGAAAGCCTGCATTGAGTCAAAAGTTATTTTGCATTGGATAGTTACAATTTTTGAAACACAGGACTTCTGTGTGTGTAATCTTGTCAGCCTCTTGGGGACATTGCGTCCCCCCCCAAAAAAAAGACATGAAATCGACTTGCAGACATTTAAACCAGGAACATTTTAAAAATAAGAAATTATTTGATTGATTCTTTAGTGCAAAATTTGAAGTAAAATTTACATGATTTAAAAATCATATGCTGCCACCCCCAACCCTGCCATTACAGTTGGCTGAAGCTTACATTGAACTTTAAAAGATGGCATCTGTCACTGACATTTGGCGGGAATTTGCCAAGAACCTAGAGTACTTTACTCTTTCTTAAAAGTGCCATTTGGAAATCTTAATCTCTTTTAATATCTTCAAAGTCACTCTCTATGGCTTTAGGGCTCTCTGAAACCTGAGACATAATCTGGAAATGACCAATGGAAATTGGAAGCTATTCCCCCTGAAGCTAGGATCTTCATTCCCTAAAAGAAACCTAATTGCACTTCAAATAAAGCTCCTCCTTCTTCTCCAACCTTTTAGAAGCCAGTCTCTTCCCCTTCTTGAGACGCTCCTCTGCACTCAGCCACCAAGTTTGGGAAAGCCCCTCTTACCCAATCCGGCTCCTTCTTATCTATTGCGTCACATCTCCCCCCTGAAATGACGTCAAAGGCATTCCCTGCCCTGCCACGTGGGTTTTGTAGGGGAAGGGGGATATGTGGGAGCGAGCCTGGCTATTCCTCAGCGGCTGCTGGGAGAGCCACAGACTCTGTGGGGAATAGGGAGGAGAGGAAGAGCTGAGGATTCTCCACTCCCAGCCCGAAGGCTCGAATTTTAGGCTCGGGCTGCTGCCTTTGCACTTTCCCTAGCCCGGGAGGCATGCCGTGGCGCACCTATTTCCCCAGCCTGGGCGTTTGAGGTGGGGGTAGTTGGCAGCCCCAGCAGTGTAACTTGAGCCGGCCCTTTTAAGCCCTCCTCCCATCTCCCTTCTCTGCCCAGTCACAGCCCCTCTCTCTCAAGGCTTAATTATCTTTTCAGCGCGGCTTCCCCTCGGGGTAGTTCCTGGGCTCCACGAAAGTCTCTCTTAGGCTAACACAAACCCACTTTTCAGACCCGCCCTCTCGCTTCCAGGGACGCCTTTTGGAGAGCGCTCCCCTCTTACTGCTGCTGGGCGGGAACCAGCGTGACGAATTCAGTCTAAGGTGTGGATAAATCCCTACTCAGTATCATGGTCTTGCGCCCACTTCCACCCCCGCTGCCCCCAGGCCTCCTGCCCTGTGCTTAGTCCCCACATCCCGAGCCCCAACAATCTCCGCAGCCCCAAGCCGTGGAGCAGCTGAGAGCCAACCCGATTAGTATAAGTATAAGAAGGTGGGCTCTTCTGGAAGCTGCGCCCACGACTTTCCCTGGAGATGCTCTCCTCAGCCCCCCAGCCCTCACCAAAGCAAGGATTGCTCTCTGGGCAGAGGGGGATGTTCTAAGAACGGACCCAATTAACAGAGAGGCGTCGGCCCAGCCAGCAAACTCATCCTACCACCTCCTCCTCTCCCCTCTAAGGGTGCTTGGCCAGATGTGCATTAGCAGAAAGAACAGATGCTCCCAAAGAAAGTTTCGCGGAGCCGGGCTGAGTCCCCGCGGTTTGATCTCGGGGTAGTGAGGCAGGAGGGAGTCCAGGGGAAGGAGAGTGGGAGTGGCTGCGCCCCCGCCGGGTCGCGCATTGCCGCGAACATACGAGGTGGCACTAGGGCCCTCCCTCGCCGGGATCCCTTCTCCTTCGAGCCGAGGACCATGGTCACTTAACCCCTTGCATTCTGCTAAGGAAAGAGGCCAGCGGAGCAAGCAGAGAACTAGTGACAGAGTTAAGATACTGATCGTTTTACTGATACATGAGAGATCTAGAGGAATTGGTAAGGGAATGGGGTGAGGGGAAAGGCTGTCAATTGGCGCTTTTCAATCTCACTGGGATTTTTGCTTTCCTAAACTGCAAGGCATTCCACACGGCTCCCAAGAGACAAAGATAGGAAACTCCATCCTGAGACATGCAGCTCTGTCTCTCTGTCTCTGTCTGTCTGTCTGTCTGTCTCTCTCTCTCTCTCTCTCTCTCTCTCTCTCTCTCTCTCTCTCTCTCTCTCTCCCTTCTAAGCTAGATACCTGCGCCTCCATAAAAATGGGAATTATCTAAGGGGGCTCAGATGGGGGGGAGAGAAAAGATGATTTGCTTAATCTAAAATGCACTTTAAAAAAAGTTACCCAAAATTTTCTTTTGATTACCAACTTTCAAGCTCCTACCTCGTCTTAAGGATTTAAATAAATACAACATATAAATATTTCTAGACATACATATCTTTCTGCCTATCTCTGTTTTATATCAGACCATTCCTATACACTGAAATGCCACCATAAATAACTTACCTTGTTCAGCTTTTGGTCATAAAGGTCTTCTTCAGCCTGCTGTGTGGTCCCAGTGGGTTGGTAGTGAGCAGTTCCCAAAATTGAGGTAATAAGAGATCAGATGAATTTCAGACGGCCGGCCAAAAAAATTAAAAAAATAAAAAATAACATTAAAAAGAGGGGTTCTGTGGACCCTAAGATGCACTGTTCTTCCCACTTTTAGTGGATATTGTAATTTTTTTCTGTATTTCTTATTTAAATTCAGCGTCGGGTCTCAAACTCTCGACGTGTATTGCTTGTGCCCTTAAAATAAATTACCAATTTTCCCCCTCTTGCTCCCAGCTCTGTATATGAGAAAGTGTCCTTTCAGTTTCAAAAGCTACTCTCATGAAGAGTCAGCAGAAGTCGTCCCAAGATGTGCAGCATCAGGAGAAAGTCTTCTTTGGCTGATGCCGGCCAGTTCAAGTCCCTAGTTCAATGAGCTTCTCAGAGTAGGGACTGGGTAATTTTTTCCAGACGTCGACTTTTTCTTTCCTGCTATTGCCTTTCTGCCTTCTCCAACTTAAGGGGGTCTTTTTAACAAGTGAGACTTGCTGGTTGTTTTAATAGGGCGGAGGATGGGGGTGGGGGTGAGGGGAGTGGAGAAGGGAGGTGTGTTGGGGGAGGGCGGGTGGGGAAGAGGGAGGGGAGGGAAGAAAGAGAAGGGAAGAAGGGAAAGAGGAAAGGAGGAAGGAGAGGGAGAGGAAGGGAGGGAAGGGGAGAGAAAGAGAGAAAGAGAGAGAGAGAGAGAGAGAGAGAGAGAGAGAGAGAGAAGAGAGAGAGAGAGAGAGAGAGAGAGAGAGAGAGAGAGAGAGAGAGAGAGAGAGAGAGAGAGAGAGAGAGAGAGAGAGAAAGAGAGAGAGAGAGAGAGAAATTGCACATTCTAAGTCACTTTCTTAGTTTTGGGACCAGTTCAAACTCCAATGAATTCATTTAATTGCAAAAGTGTGCAGAGAAATGCAATACCCACATGTTAGCACCACCTGATTTCCTCTTCATGTACAACAATTTGAACTTAAAATATATATATATATATTTTAGCTTTTGTGTCTGAACTGCATGGACCATTGCTCTGATAAGATATTTTAAGGGGAGGGAGGGGCAGAAGAGGGGAATGATGCCATTCATAGATTCGGCTACATTGATGGGGAGATACATACATGTATATACGTCTAGACATTCATATATATATGTATATGTGCCCATATATGCATATGTAAATGTATGTGTTTATATTTATAATAATTTCTATGTTAGGGTCAGAAGAAAGGGTAGTGACAAGAAATCTGTAACACCAAACCTTGTCTTTCTGCCTGCTGGTCTCTCAGTGCCCCCCTTACCCGACAATGCACGCCCCACCCCCACTTCTTTTCTCTGATTGATATTAGAATCTAAATTCAGGACGAGAGGGAAAGTCCCTTCCCCCACCCCGAATTAATTAGCAGAGTTGAGAAAGTCAGAATTATGATCAGCTAAGTACAACATACTTTGTTAAATCTCGCCATCCTTCCAAGTAAAAATGTTAAAACAGCGCCTGTTTCAAAAATCGCTCTACAAAAGGAAGAGGAACCCTCTGTCTGCTTAAAGACAATCACAGCAATTGCTACGGAAATCTCATTAACTGCCCTGGGTTTCCTGAATGCCTCCCTCGAACATTAACAGCCAAGAGGCTGGGTGCTGGTATCTGGGAACGCCGCTGCAATCTCCCAAACCAGTGCCCCAACGCTAGTGACTTCCTCGGCATGGTCCCTTCCCCACCCCCGCCCCAACTACTCCTTCCAGACAGTCGCGTGCTGACTCCGAATGACCAGAAGATGGCACTGTTTAGGAAATAATGAGAGTGAATTACCAATTAACTCCAGGGGCCCTGGGTAATGCTGCAGCTGAAGGATGAGAGGAATCATTCTAGGGGACGTGAGTGTGTGAGTGTGTGTGTGTGTGTGTGTGTGTGTGTGTGTGTGTGTTTGCGTGTCACGGTGGGCTTCGTGTGTGTCTACTAAGGTGGGACTGGGTTTTCCTTATTCCCCGAAAAAATATAACACATGAGAAGAGTAAATCAAGATAATGCTAGGGATGCTTCATCATTTTTCACCGGGGCTTAGGTACCGGTTCTGCGGTCTTGAGCGAAAGCTGACCAGAGAAGGGGTTAGAGGTAACTTATGAAGACTCAGGGGCCTCTCTCCCAGTTCAATCTGATATTAACAGCCACACACACAGTCAAAGCCCCACACAGAGCCTTCCTTGGTACACCAAAAGGAACATTAATTACATGGGTCCTATGACTTCACCTGGTTCTACAGACACATGAAAGCATATGTCCCTGGCAAACTTCCTAAGACTGCCTTCATTTCAACACAGACAGATGACCTCATAAGAGCATCTTGTAAATTTCAGAGGTTTCTTTCCCCTGAAACCAACCTGTAAACTTTTAGATAAGACAAACTTTTAGACAAGATACACTTTTGCTTTATCTTAGTTATTGGTATTTAAATGTCTATTTTGTTTTGCATTATTTATTCTAGAGACCGTTATACATTCTAAATGCATGAGATTTGCAAAAGTGGAGGGGCTTCTTATGAGTCAGGAAGATTTAGGTTCACATTCTGCCTGTGACACACTAGGGCTGTGTGACTCTGAGTGAGTCACAACATCTCACTGTCTCCAGGCAACTGTCTCAAAATGAAAATTTACAGAGAGGTTGCAGATCTGCATTGTTGGAAGAAGTTCCCACACCTGGAGTTCCCCCACTGCAATAAATTATCGTTCCAGAACAAATTACAAGAATGAGTGAGAAAAACAAAACAAAGTTACAGTAGTACAGAAAATAAGTACCATATTGGAGTCAGGGAGCCTTAGCGTTGAGTCTTGGTGCTGTAACAAATACCTAAATGGGAATTCATCTCTTTGGACCTGTTTCCTCAACTCTAAAATAGGGATGGAAGCTAGGGTGGAGAAGGGAAATTAAATTAGCTTCAAGGCCTATTCCAAGTCTAAAAGTCTATATTTCTTCTTTCAACATGGTCATTTTACAGCTGTTGAAGCTAAGGCCTTAGGCAAAGTTCACACAGATAGTAAGAAGGAGATCCAGTTCACCTAGGCTCTACTTGAATACTTCCCATGATGGGCAATTCACTATCTCACAAAGTTGCTCATTCCTTTTTGGTACAGCTCTGATTTTAGAAATTCTTCCTCATATTGAGCTACGATGTTCCTTTCTACAACTTACATTGATTTTAGTTGATGTCTCAGCAGCCAAGCAGAGCCAGTCAAATTCACCCATGACAGTCTTTTAAATATTAGGACAGTTGTCATTTTTTCTTATTATGTACACACTCTCAAAGATTTTAACTGTTACCTATTTCCAAAATTCTCCCCAGCCCCAAAGTGTCGATAAATTTAAGTAATTACACTTTGAACTCCTATCTCTGCACAGCCTAAGTAAGAACTAACAGGAAACAATTGCCTTGAATGAACTAAAAGCTGGAGTTCTTGAAGGATTAAAAGATGCTATCATATGATTAAAAAGAAGGGGTAAGATTGAAAATGAAGAGCTGAAGGTTTCCTATAAAATCCTATAATGTCATCTCTGGAAAAGAAATACAAATGATAGAAGGCCAGTCAGAAAGATTTCAGATATGAGAGCCCAGCTCACTATAGGATCTTGGACAATTTATCTTACAGCCTCTGCTTGAAGACTTCTGGTGGTGGAAATCAACTCCCTCCCTTGATAGATAAGGAAAAGAAAATGAGTTGTCTAAGGTCCCAAGCAAATGAGCAGAAGAACCACAATGGACAAATCAACACAGTGGACAACCCATTTCATATCCCTGGGCTTCCATTTCCTTATTACATATAGTACAGCTGGAAACATCTTTCAACAAATCATCATTCTTTCCTTCAGCTATGGCCTTACTACTTAGGCCCGGCAGTTGGATTATCAGGTCAAAGGCCAGCTCCATGGCTCTTCTAGTAAGGGATATTGCCGGATCTATTCTAGGAAGATTGCACCAATGCACATTTCCACCAACAACATGTTACCCCATTTCGGTTCTATATTTTCCATCCCTTAACTTGCTTTCAATACACAAGAAAATAAAAGTTAAATTAAAATAATTTTGTTGCTGCTAAATAATTATAATGACTAAATTTGGCCCCAGAAAGAAGAGATAAAATGTACCTCCCTTTCTTCTTTGCTGAGGTAGATGACTCTGGCCATGGAACATCCTAAGTGCATGGTTGATATGTTGGTAAGCTTTGCTGATATATTCCTCTTCCCACTTTTAAAATTCTTTCTTATAAAGACATAGCTTACTAAGAAGGGAGAGGAAGGAAAGACATTGAGAAATAGAGGTCATAGAAAAACAAGATGCCAATAAACTTTTTTTTATTCTGATTTAGTATTACACATAGCCCATAGTTTTTTTTAATTATAGTTCTTTGAAACAATGTCATTCTTTCTTGAAAGCTAGAGAATAGATTCATCAGACTTCATTTTACAAGTTCCATAACTTTTCTTTAAATTTAGGATTTAAGAATTTAGATAACATCAACAGATCACAGGATGACCAAATGGGAGGAGATTTTCCCTTTAGAGTTCATGTAGTTCAAACTCAAGAGGAAATATGAATTCCCTTTATAAAATCACCAACAACATCACTACTAGATCTATTTCCAAAGATGATTATGGAAAAAAGAAAAATAAAACCTGTATGTTCTACAATATTTATGGCAGGTCTCTTTGTGGTGGCAAAGAACCGTCAATCAGAGAATGGCTGAACAGGCTGTGGTATATGATCTTGATGGAATACTGCTGTGCCATAAGAAATGATGAGCTTAATAATCTTAGAAAATGGATAGACTTGCTCAAAATAATGGAGAGTGAAATGAGCAGAACCAAGAGAATGTTGTATATGGTAACAACAACATTGTTTTAAGAACAATTTTGAGCTACTAAATCATTTTGACTATTATAAATACCCAAATTAACTACAAAGGACCTATGAAGGAAGACATCATCTGCATCCAGAGAAAGAAATGATAAATAGAAGTATGTGCAGAATGATTTCTCGCCCACACACACACACACATACACACACACACACACACACACACATATTTGTGTCCAATGGTAGCTATCTCTAGGGTGGGGATGGAGGGAGGAAAAAAAAAGAAATTTACAGGAAAACTTAATTATATTTAAAAGGATAACACATTATACATAATAGATTTGCATTTTCATGTGAAATCGTCTTTTTATTATGCCATATTATAAAAATGCTTATTTTGTTACATAAATTAAAACTAAAATAAATAAAAATTAAAAAATAAAATAAAACAAGATCACTGACAACTGGTCATCTAGTTCCTGCCTGAACATCTGCAGTGGAAGGAGAGAGGTTGGTAGGGTTATCTACCTATCTTGGCAGATAGAGATAGGTACGAAGGCTCATAGATACCTTTAGGTATTAGAATGTTCCTCATCATATCTTCATTATGTCACTTTATATATTATTTATTTAATTATTATATATTGTTTATGTATTATTACATATTTTATGAA